GGCCAGCGTAAAAAACAATGCAAAATTAATACCTAATCAAACACATCACATACCAATGTTCAGCTCGTATGACAATAAAAACAATGATAAATTATTAAATTAAGGCCATGTGTAACGAGCAATACGAAATTATTTTATTATTTAGAAGAAAATTCTTAATTTGACATAATAATTACACAAACGTTTCGAGCTCTACTTGCTCCTCTTCAGTGCGCAAAAAAATAATGATAATAAATACCCATAATAAATAAATACATACATAAAGTTCTAATAAAAAAATCCGCAATACATAGTCAATATAAGTTATATAGTTAAGTCATAGTTAAAACGCAAAATATATTTACAATGAATTGAAACCATTAAAATAGTTCAACAAAGTAAGAACCCAATTAGAAGCAGAATGATTCGTCCGGTTATTCATAAAATATTTTAGAATTATTAATAAAAACTCGGAGTGACACTTATACATTGCTCCAAACGAACCACTTATCGTTATTTGACGAAAGTCCCTCGATCTGGCAATGATTATGTCCATCTTCTCCAAATTATTTGATATTTGTTAACTGAATTTAGAGAATTTATTCAATTGTAAAATAGGATTCCACTAATGTGTATGTAAAAAAATTAAAAATTACAAATTAAACTAAATACTAAAATATTGAACCTTTATGCTTACAAATTGTTCCGAATAACTTGAGATGACGATGCTTCTAATTGTTGTTGGCCTTATTGTTAGTACTTGACTGTTGTCTAGTCTTTTAAAAAGTCGAATAAATAGGTGTCAGATCTCACAAAATAAACATTTACATAAGTCTAAAAATTCGATATTTCTTCTAGAATGTCGAAATACGCGTTGTTAAGCAATTCGGTGTCTGTGTTATTATTTATACCATGCCTTTGTTCCTTGATGTGTATCATTTCCGAGATAAGTCTTTTATAATAATTAGATTCAATATCAAGTATTTTAACGTTATCCCAATCAAAAGCATGTTTTTTATTATAATATGTTCAGAGACCACAGAATGCTTGGAGGAATCAAATTTAATATTATTCATATGCTCTTTTAGTCTAGTGCGTAATTTTCTTTTGGTTTGCCCAACATACGAAGCTTCACAATCCTTACAATTAATTTTGTAGACAACATTATTATTATTGTTATGCACGTTTTTGTCCTTGTGGACTTTAATAAATTTGTTAAGATTATTTAGACAACGGTATCCTACTCTGAAATCTGATTTTTTTATTGTCGATGCTATTGTCTCAGAAATGTTATTAATGTATGGAATGACAAAAAATTTTTTCTTGCTATTATCTTCTGCAATTTCTTTTTTTCTATTGTTGTTAAACTGTCCATTGTTTAAAACTCTTATTCTCTTATTTATTTCTTTAAAGATCAAATGAATAGGGTAACCGTTGTCCAATAATATTTTAATACACAGTTCTAAATTTTTCTTATGATATATGGGATGAGATAATAACAATGCCCTATTAATAAGATTATAAATTACTCCTATTTTATGGCACATAGGGTGACTCGATAAAAAAGATAGTACTCTACCTGAACATGTCTTTTTTTGAAACCAATCTAAGTGTATGACGTTATTTATTATTTTAATGTTTAAATCTAGAAAATTTATGCTTCTATTAATTTCGTATTCAATCGTAAATTGTAGTCGTTGATTGTAACTATTAAACTTATTCAGTACACTATCAATTTTATTCTTTGGTGCCACCATAATAATGTCGTCTACATATCTATAATATATTCCAATACCAATGTCCAATTCATTAATTATTGATTCTTCAAGATCTTGCATAACAATATTAGCAATTATTGGCTGTACAGATTCAAAAACAAATTTTAAATATTGAAATTAGAGATTTATATAGACTAATTAATTTATTACATGGTAAACTTTACAATATTTCAAGATATGTGGCTAACAACTGCCAGTACACATATGGAACGAAATTTTAAGACATCATTTCATCTCATTTGACAGGTTTCATAACAGACTACATAACAAACATAATAACAAATTTAATTGGCTAATTAAAAAGAAACAAGACGAATATCTGAAAAATATCAAACCGATTAAACTTAGTTATTCCATCAACAAAATAGACATTCCACAATCAACAATTTCAGTAAACAATAATAGAAACAAAGACATTGTCATATATCCTAATAAATTCAAAGACAAACATATTAATCCTCTAACCAGTACTAACGAAAAATGGTTTATTAATTTGACTGACACAATAATTCCTACCAATGTCACTAATCTATTACAATTTGGAAGTAAATTCGGCCTGCCGTTTAAGAATGACAAAAAGTTGGCCATACACGAGTTTATCAAAGATATAGAAGGGAATTCCACTAGTTCTAACATGAAAAATTTAAATACATTACGTAACAATCTGGTTCCACAACTTTCCTATTTTTTACACGGCAAAACTAAGTTTAATTCAACTCATGAAGATTTGATTAGTATGCATAGATATACAAGGAGGTTTTGCCATGATAATCCGGATATTCTTTTTACAAGGGCTGATAAGGGCAACGTAACAGTCGCGATGACAAAAGAATATTACACGAATAAGATGGAAGGTTTACTTGAAGACAATAACACCTATTCTATCATAAAAAAGAACCCATCCTCCAAAATAGAAAAGGAACTAAACGATATTCTTAAGAAATGGCAAAAAAAAGAGTACATTTCTAATAAAGAATATTACTCACTACGTTCCAGCGACTCCCTTCTTCCAAAATGTTATGGTCTCCCAAAAATACACAAGGAGAATACTCCATTTAGGTTAATTGTGTCATCGATTAATACCACGCTTTACTCGATAGCCACATTTTTACATAAAATCATTTCAAATAGTATTCCTACGGGAAAAAGTAATGTAAATAATAGTTTTGAACTTTACAGCAAGCTAGCGGGTAGGAAAATTGGTGCGGAAGATATTCTAATATCATTAGACGTGGTTTCACTATTTACTAACATTCCGATAGATCTTGCAATAGAAAGTGTGAGCAATAGATGGAATTATATCAATACACATACATTAATTCCAAAAAATGAATTCATTTCCATGGTTAAATTTATATTGTCGTCAACATACTTCACATTCAATGACATTGTATACAAGCAAGTTTATGGCACACCTATGGGTTCCCCGTTGTCGCCAATAATTGCTAATATTGTTATGCAAGATCTTGAAGAATCAATAATTAATGAATTGGACATTGGTATTGGAATATATTATAGATATGTAGACGACATTATTATGGTGGCACCAAAGAATAAAATTGATAGTGTACTGAATAAGTTTAATAGTTACAATCAACGACTACAATTTACGATTGAATACGAAATTAATAGAAGCATAAATTTTCTAGATTTAAACATTAAAATAATAAATAACGTCATACACTTAGATTGGTTTCAAAAAAAGACATGTTCAGGTAGAGTACTATCTTTTTTATCGAGTCACCCTATGTGCCATAAAATAGGAGTAATTTATAATCTTATTAATAGGGCATTGTTATTATCTCATCCCATATATCATAAGAAAAATTTAGAACTGTGTATTAAAATATTATTGGACAACGGTTACCCTATTCATTTGATCTTTAAAGAAATAAATAAGAGAATAAGAGTTTTAAACAATGGACAGTTTAACAACAATAGAAAAAAGAAATTGCAGAAGATAATAGCAAGAAAAAAATTTTTGTCATTCCATACATTAATAACATTTCTGAGACAATAGCATCGACAATAAAAAAATCAGATTTCAGAGTAGGATACCGTTGTCTAAATAATCTTAACAAATTTATTAAAGTCCACAAGGACAAAAACGTGCATAACAATAATAATAATGTTGTCTACAAAATTAATTGTAAGGATTGTGAAGCTTCGTATGTTGGGCAAACCAAAAGAAAATTACGCACTAGACTAAAAGAGCATATGAATAATATTAAATTTGATTCCTCCAAGCATTCTGTGGTCTCTGAACATATTATAAATAAAAAACATGCTTTTGATTGGGATAACGTTAAAATACTTGATATTGAATCTAATTATTATAAAAGACTTATCTCGGAAATGATACACATCAAGGAACAAAGGCATGGTATAAATAATAACACAGACACCGAATTGCTTAACAACGCGTATTTCGACATTCTAGAAGAAATATCGAATTTTAGACTTATGTAAATGTTTATTTTGTGAGATCTGACACCTATTTATTCGACTTTTAAAAGACTAGACAACAGTCAAGTACTAACAATAAGGCCAACAACAATTAGAAGCATCGTCATCTCAAGTTATTCGGAACAATTTGTAAGCATAAAGGTTCAATATTTTAGTATTTAGTTTAATTTGTAATTTTTAATTTTTTTACATACACATTAGTGGAATCCTATTTTACAATTGAATAAATTCTCTAAATTCAGTTAACAAATATCAAATAATTTGGAGAAGATGGACATAATCATTGCCAGATCGAGGGACTTTCGTCAAATAACGATAAGTGGTTCGTTTGGAGCAATGTATAAGTGTCACTCCGAGTTTTTATTAATAATTCTAAAATATTTTATGAATAACCGGACGAATCATTCTGCTTCTAATTGGGTTCTTACTTTGTTGAACTATTTTAATGGTTTCAATTCATTGTAAATATATTTTGCGTTTTAACTATGACTTAACTATATAACTTATATTGACTATGTATTGCGGATTTTTTTATTAGAACTTTATGTATGTATTTATTTATTATGGGTATTTATTATCATTATTTTTTGCGCACTGAAGAGGAGCAAGTAGAGCTCGAAACGTTTGTGTAATTATTATGTCAAATTAAGAATTTTCTTCTAAATAATAAAATAATTTCGTATTGCTCGTTACACATGGCCTTAATTTAATAATTTATCATTATAAAAATTAAATTTACAAATTTTATGTAATAATTTTTTGCATAAATTCGGCTACTGTGGTTTCCGCGGCCGCAGCTATCGAGGTCTCCGCGGCTTCGAGCGCATTGCGCATATCAACGCGCTCTTGAGCGCCCAGCTCCTCTTCTGTATTGTGGATCTAAAATATGAAAAATAATAATTTTTATTTTATAATTAAAATGCATATATATATATATATATATATACATATTAAATATTAAAAAGAATATATTGTCAAAAATATATACTTCTATATATTTCTTGTTGCGGCTCTTGCTGCGGCTCTTATTGCGGCTGCTGCTGCGGCTCTTGCTGTGGCTGCTGCGCAACTCTCGCAACTGCTTCTGCAGTGATGGCTGTTGCTGTTGTTGCGGTGGCTACCCGGTAAAAATATTTTATATAAAATTATATGCATAAATTTTTATATATGTTTATGTATATACATATATATATTGATAATAATTACAGTGTTAGCAAAAAGTTCGGAAACGGTTAAAATTCTTGAAAAATATTGATTTATTGGAAAAACGTTTCAAATAAAAGTTGTAAAGCTTAAAAAATCTATTAGCTGATGGCATTCATTTGACCTTGGGGTGATCTTAAAACCATGATTCTCATCAACATAAAAATCTTAAGTGGAAACCCTCAATTTTTATTACACATTCTTGTAGCTGACATCTATAAAAAAGATGTGTAATTTACAACTATTTTTAAAAGCAACTATATGTTTTCTTTACAGCAATTGATTGGTCTTACTATTCCGTGCAAAAACTAGTAAGGTATTACCGAACTAGTAAGGATTACCGAAAACTGAATATTTTGCAAGATATTTTACATTTTATGTCAAAAAATTTTCAACTTCAAACCTTTATAAGTCAAGTACGTAAGAGAAAGATATTTTATTATAGTGTTTTGGAAAGCTCTTGAGCTAAGCTACAAGAATACATAATAAAAATTGAAGGTTTCCTTTTAAGATTCTTATGTTAACGAGAATCGTGTTTTGCAAGATCATCTCAAGGTAAAATGTATACTATCAGCTAATAGATTTTTAAGCGCTATAACTTTTATTTGAAACATTTTTCTAATAAATCAATATTTTTCAAGATCTTTAACCGTTTTATAACTTCTTGCCAGCATTGTATATACAATTAAATATATTTTTAAATATGTTTTGTACAAACCTCTATATGATGATATATCTTCATATATGTATAATTACTTACAATTATATATAATTATATCACCAGAAAAATCCAATAAATTGAAAATTTAAATGCATACACAGAAAAATATATGTTTATATCTAAAAATATGTATATGTATAGAATTTCTATAATAATTATGTATAATTAAAATTAATTATTTATATGGACATATTTCCTATATAATTTTATAAAAAATGTATAAACATTTTTTACCGGGCGTTGCTGCGGTGGCCCTTCTTGCGGCTGCATTCGTTGGATTCTTTGCAGCTCCTGCCGCACCTCTCTTTGCTGCTCCAGTATTTGCTGGAGGATGAGCATCATTAGTCTTTTATGCTCATCTTTCAGCTCCATGTCTACCATATGTCATCTAAATCTTCTGTTAAAGAGAAAAGTTTATTACAATACATATTACAATAAACATTTATCTTTAACAATATTTAGAATATATAATTCGGGTCTCGAAATTCAACATACAATATATATGTACATATCGGCCAATAGAGCCTAACGCGATGTCTTTTTGGGCGCGGAAATTAAGTTATAAAAGGAAAACATAGGAATTAAAAATCCCAACCAAAAGATACTATTCCTACTTAATTTTCGCACGCAAAAAGACATCGCTATAGACTCTATTGGCCAATATACATATATAGTGTATAATTTATTTTTAAGATTTATTTTTTACTTTACTTGCCGCTCACATTTTTATGAAAATAATAATTCATGAATACTTTTTTAATTTAATATGCTTATGTTATTAATAACGCTTACGGCAAGAAAAATGTAAATTTTATAATTATTGGAAGATTAATAATAAATTATACTTACGAGACATTGCGTTCTTTTGGTCTTAATAATCACTCGCGGAACGTTTAGTCGCGCGTTGCTCTCTGGAAAAGTTTCTGTCGACTCGCCGTAACACCGGAGCAAGTTTTCGCGTTCACGCACTAAAGTCGCCTATCGAACAACAATTGGCCCTCGCGAAATCATATTATATTCGCGGCCAATAAAGGACGCATTTCTTTATTGAGTAAGAAGGCCTAATTTCGCGAAAACACGTCTCATCTTTGTCGCTCAAGTCATTTCGGTAGACTACGCCCGAAAAGCATGAAGACGCGAGAAGCGAACCGTCAACAGTGTTCAAATAATTTGCCATTATTATTATTTATAACACAAGTTGTAGTTGGGGAAACTAAAAATGTTTTTTTATTGATCAGTCGAAACAAAATTAGTAAATATTTATTTATCTTAATTAATTAATACTTTGGGAAATGCTTTGAAGTATCTATAGTGTTTCTTTAATCACAACAATATAATTTCTATATAGACCATTTCTATACAGATCTATACAGATAAATTTTTATATAGACATTTAAAATGCATTATTTTGTTGATTATAACTTTTTAAAGAAAGCTTGAACTTAACTTTTTGTCATCCTTTACTTTTGACTTATTTCGACTTTATCAATTCAATTTCTAAAGATGGAGCGTGATTATACACCCTGTGTACACACACACACACACACACACACACACACACACACGCACGCACGCACGCACGCACGCACGCACACGCACGCACGCACGCACGCACGCACACGCACGCACGCACGCACACGCACACGCACACACGCACACGCACACGCACACGCACACACACAAAATGTCCGGTAATGAAATAATCAACCGAGAGATAATGATAGATTAAGTGAAACTGAACAAAAAGTCCTCTATTATTTTGCAAAATTCAAAGAAATTGAAGAAAAAGTTTACCATTGTACAGTGGCAGTTAAAAATAAAATAAAACAATTAGTACACAAATTGTGTTATTTTGCAAATATCTGTTTATATATCCATTTTATAAAAAAATATAAAAGTAGAAAGTTAAAGAATGCACAATTTTACATAAAGTGTATAGTGTTGTATAATTTTTTACGTACGAGCAATACTTTTACGTAAAAATTTGCTAATTATTTGTTGTGCGGTGAATATACAAAGCTCGATAGAGCGTATTATGTAATATAGGTATTTTACAATTTCTCTAAAAATTCTACGATTATTTGTTGCCATTTTTATGAGAAAAGGCAAAAATTTCCTGTAAAATTTTACATAATAATAATTCGTTCAAAAATTATAATTTTTGTGCGTGCGTGTAACGCTTCAATCCACATAATGTCTATCGGTACGTACCATCGCGTTGTCAATTCACCGTACAGCGTACATCTTGCAAAATTATTTACATAAAATGTATCACTTGTATAAAAAAGACTTATAGAACATTTTTATGTAAAATTATTATATTCTTTAATTTTGTACTCTTATACTTTATTATCCTTTTTGTAAAATTCATATTTAACGAAATATTTGCAAAAGACATTTGAGTCCAAATTGTTTAATTATTCTTCTTAACGGTCACTGTATGATGGTAAACCTTTTCCTCCTTCAATCTTATGCAAAAATAAAGGTCTGTACCAAAATTCAGCTTTTAACATTTTTTCCGACCCCTAAAATAATTGTACTATTATTTATTACGTCTCGGGGGATCGCGGCTGCGAAGAAACGAATGCAGGGCTCGGGCCCTTCCATGAGACACGATCGCTATTACGGGTACGCGAATCTAAGCGATTCTTCCCGGGGATACCCGCGATCTGAGGTTATTTGCGCTGGAAGAAAGGAACGCGTGGTGATCGAATTAGATGTAGAATCTATCTGTGACTCTACTGTTACGACGATAGTCTCGTCGTCCGCTCTCAGCGAAACACTGTTTGGATCGCGTAAATAGTCTTCGTACTTGAATTGACAAAGTTCACACAAGTCCCCGGCTCGTGTAAGGGTGAGGCGATTGCTGCAAATTTCGCAATTTATCCCAACGGGTATTCCGCCTATAACTAAGCTATGCTTTCGAATCCTCGCCCAGAGTAATTTCGAAACTCTAGGTAAGCAGGCGGCGTAATACGAAAGGCAGAGAGCAGCCTTAGTCTCAAAATGAATGTATCCGACACCGACTTGACAATAGAACAAAGGTGGAAACGGCACTATAAAGGTAACCTCTGGAGGAGAGGTTATGCCTCTAGGCGGAAACGGGCACATTGACATGTGAGAACCCTTAAGTTGGTTATTATTCATTTAAATAATTATTATGTCATCAAAAGAATCGCGCCGTTACTTCTCTAGCTTTTTTAGAAAATAGAATTAGAATATTTTGTCCTTTTGCGTTTTCGTATTACAAGGTGCTGAGCTGCAGCGCACGTGGTGCGATCCTATTTTTACGACTGACCCCTTTTATGACTGACCCCTTTTCCTTTTGACCGACCCTTTTGTGACTTCCGTAGTGGACACTCAAAAAGGGAAAATGCGTAGGATATTTTCCGAATATTCCTTTCCACGTGGCGGGGGCGTCTAAATTTATTCACATGCGCGATTTCTTAGATCAACATGGATTTCACTTACCTTTAACAATATTTCCCTGATAGCGTCAGCTCGTTTTGTAGGTAGCGAGTACGGCGGGGGTCGTCCTCCGGGATATTTAGTGGCGGCATGCGTCGTGGCAAGAAGGTTATTGGCATTGGTTTCCACGGCAGGAGCTTGACGTTGTTGTTAGTGTTCGTGTTATTTTTGGTGTCAAAAGTTTTCGTACTCAGGATCGACCTGGTACTCTACATCAAGTAATTGAGAAATTTGTTCGGTCACAGATTCACGAAATAAATTTGATAACTTACGGAGTTGGTTTTTTCTTCCCGCGCGTCGCGTTTTAGCATAGTGAATTCAAATCGGAGACATTCTCTGAACAATTGCGTTAATAAAAAGATCGATGTGCGGCGGACCTCACTATCGATTCCTTATTTCGGCGCGTAAAAAGAATGTTATTCTAGCTGTGATGAGCGGCTGTCCGCTCTAAGCACGGTTCGAATTTGTTCCGAATTCGGGATTCGATGCCTTGTGCTGATTAGTCACTAGCGCTTTTGTCGCAAATAGGTTTCATGAATTGTTGAGAAATGTATTAGACACTTGTTCACAAAAACACACTGGTTTATTCTTATNAAAAAATCAATATTACAAGGTTATATGAGAAACGATTGAAAGCCGAAAAAAATTGTACGTTGGTGCATGTGTATTAGGAAAAATTATATTCGCAATATATACAAAATGTTAAGTTTGATTAAAAGAAATCAGAAGTGTATTTGACTCTTGTCGCAGATTGTTCTACAATCGAAGACAAATTAACTGCGCTAGCTATGTGGCGAATCTAGACATACAGCCTCATCTGAAAATTATTTTATTGAGTCTACATATCATCATGATGTAAATCCATTGGAACCTTTGATAATGAATGTAAAAGGAAAAGTAGTAAACATATTACCATTAACAACAGAAACAAGCTAAAAAATCTTGGTCGTGTAATATTTCAGACTATAAAACTAACAATCCACTTTTATGGACCGTTCTCAGAAGTCTCTTAAAACCATAAATACATGTACCTTAAACAATGAACAAAACTGATGTGTAATACTGCAAGCTGTAAAATTAACGATCCGCTTTTAATTGATCGTTATCAGAAGTTTCTCGAAACTGTAAATACATGTACTTTAAAAAATGTACCAAAACTTATGCAAAATATTCATAAATGTACAATGAAAATTTCAAATAAGAAATTGGGTCATACGCGTAGCTGTTATATTGATATAACACTTTGCGAAGGAAGGTTTCTTCCAGTTCAATTATTATCGCCTTATTTTCCAAAAGTAAGATATATGAAGCGTTTAATGTATCATCTTACATATTTTTATCGAAATTGGAAAATCTAGATAATGCTTTAAATAATTCTGATATAAATACTTTGAATGAAATTGTGACTTCTGCACAGGAGAAAGTAGATATGTACAGACATCAACGAATTGATACAATTTTGAGTGATGATATTATGTTTAAATATCGTTTAGCATTTAAAGCATTGACTGAACGCTCTGTGGACACACCACGACATGTTTGTGTATCATGCGAGAGATTGTGTTATAAAAAAAGTGTTTCTAAAGTCAATAGTCTTCAGACACAAGTACATGTTAAAATTTTGAAAGATTTAATGACGTATGTACAACAACAAAAAGTTGATGCGCAATATATATGTAATTATTGTGCAGGCAAATTTCGTAAAGGTTTAATGTCTGCATACTGCGTCTTAAATAATCTTTTTACAAATCAGGTGCCTGAAGTAATATCATCTCTTAATACATTCGAAAAAATTCTTATACAGAGAGCTAAAGCGTTTCAAACTGTTCTTAAAATGGGAACTGTTATTAATAAAAAGTTGCCTCAAAGACAAATGGTATCAAAAGTTAAAGGTAGAACATTTC